ACTGAGCCACCCAGGTGCCCCAATCTTCATTTTGTTGATGTGATGTATCACGGTGACCAATTTGCAGATATTGAACCATACTTGCATCCCTGGAATAAATCCCACATGATAACGAATGATTCTTTTAATGTATTGCTGGATTCAGTTTGTTAATATTTTGTTGAGAATTTTTTAATCTGTTTATCAGGGACATTAGCCTGTAGTTTTCTTATACTGTCTTTGTCTGATTTGGGTATGAGGGTAATGCTGGCCTTGTTAAATGAATTTGGAAGCTTTCTTTCCTCTTCTACTTTTTGGAAGAGTTTGAGGAAAGGAATTAACTCTTCTTTATTTATGTCCCTTAAATCTTCTTTAAATGTTTGGCAGAATTCATCTGTGAAGCCATCAGTTCCTAGACTTCTGAGAACTTTTTGATTACCCATTCAATTTCGTTACTAGAAATTGGTCTGTTCAGATTTTTTATTTCTTCCTGAATCACTTTTGGAAGACACTCTATACTTCCAGGAATTTATCCAGAAGACTGTATACTTCTAGGAATTTATCCATTTCTTCTAGATTGCCCAATTTATTGGCATATATTTTTTGTAGCCTCTTATAATCCTGTGTCATTTTGTGATGTCAGTGGTTACTTCATTTCTGATTTTAATTTCAGTCCTTTTTTTCTTAATTTATCAATTATGTTTATCTTTTCAAAGAACCAGATCTTGGTTTCCTTGATCTTTTGTAATTTTTTTACTTTGTTTCACTTATTTCCACTCTTCTATTATTTCCTTCATTCTACTAACTTTGGGCTTTGTTAAAGTTCTTTTTTTCAAGTTTCTTTATGTGTTAAGTTAGATTATTTGAAATTTTTCTCATTTCTTAAGGTAGGCCTCTAATGTTATAAACTTCTTAGAAGTGTCTTGTGTCTCAAAGATTTTTGGACTGTTATGTTTTCATTTGTTTCCATTTTTTCGTTTATTTTTAATTTCTTCATTGATCCACTGGTTAGGTAGTAACATGTTCAGGCTCCATGTGCATATGGTTTGGTTTTTTTTTTCCCATTCTTGTAATTTCTAGTTTTATACTATTGGGGTCAGAAAAGATGCTTGATAGGATTTCAGTCTTCTTAAATTAATTGAGACTTGTTTGGTGGCCTAACATGTGATCCATTCTGGAGAATGTTATATGTGTACTTAAAAAGAATGTGTTTCTGTATGGAATGTTCTATATATATCTGTAAAATCCATCAAAGCCACGTTTACTTATTTTCTGTCTGGATGATCTATCTATTGATGCAAGTGGGATGTTAAATTCCCCTCCTGTTATTGTCAATTTCTCCCTCTGTTAATATTTGCTTTACATATTTAGGTGCTCCAATGGTGGGTGAATATTTATACTTGTTATATCCTCTTGATTGATCCCATTATCATTATATAATGCCTTTGTTTTAAAGTTTATTTTGTGTAAGTATTGCTACCCCAGTTTTTTTCCCCCCTTTCATTTGCATGAAATCTTTTTTTCCATCCCTTCACTTCCACTCTGTAAATGGTCTGAAGTAAGTCTCTTGTAGGCAGCATATAGATGGGTCTGGTTGTTTTATTCTGTTACCCTGTGTCTTTTGTTTTTAAGATTTTATCCATTTATTTGAGAGAGAGTGCAAGTTGGGGGAGAGCAGATGGGGAAGGAGAGGGACAAATGGCCTGTATGGGCCCCAAGACCATGACCTGAGCTGAAGGCAGTTGTGAAGGCAGACGTTTAAGTGACTGAGCCACCCAGGTGCCCCCTTTTTTAATTCATTTATGAGAGAGAGGGAGAGAGAACCCTATGTCTTTTGATTGGAGCATTTATCTTTAAGGTAATTACTAATATGTATTTAGTGCCATTTTGTTTTCTGGTTATAGTTTTATTTCCTTGTAATTGATGACTTTCTTTAGTGTTATTCTTTTTATTTTTGTGTCTCTATTATAGATTTCTGGTTTGTAATTACCATGAGGCTTATATATAAGATCCTAAGTACGTAAGTCTGTATTGTTGATTGTTGCTTAAGTTCGAACACATTCTAAACGAACTTCAGTTTTACACCCTCTCCATATTTTACGTATATATTTTACATCTTATTATTTTTTGAGTCCCTAGATATAATTTAACTATTGGATATAATTGATATTACTACCTTTGTCTTTTAATCTTAATTTTATAGTGATTGATATACTACTTTGTATATTTGCTTTTATTTGTGAAATTTTTTCCTTTTCCTAATTTTCTTCTAATTATGGGCTTTTCTTTTCCACTTAAAGAATTCCCTTTGGGGCGCCTGGGTGGCTCAGTCGTTGGGCGTCTGCCTTTGGCTCAGGTCATGATCCCAGGGTTGTGGGATCAAGCCCCGCGTCAGGCTCCCTGCTCCGCCGGAGGCCTGCTTCTCCTTCTCCCACTCCCCTTGCTTGTGTTCCCTCTCTCGCTGTGTCTCTCTGTGTCAAATAAATAAAGAAAATCTTAAAAAAAAAAAATTCCCTTTAATATTTCTTGTAAGGCCAGTTGAGTGGTGATAAACTCCTTTACCTTAGATTTGGGAAATTCCTTCTCTCTCCAATTCTGAATGACCATCTTGCTCAGTAAAGTACTCTTGGTTATAGGTTTTTTCTTTTCAGCACTTTGAATATGTCATGCCTCTCCCTTCTGGCCTGCAAAATTTCTGCTGAAAAATCATATAGCCTTAGGGGGCGTTTCTTTCTACATACCTAGTTGCTTCTTGCTGGCTCCTTTTAAGATTATCTGTCTTTAATCTTTAACATTTTAATTATGTGTCTTGTTGTGGACCGCCTTGGTTCAACTTGTTTGGGGCTCTCTGTGCCCCCTGGACCTGGATGTCTCTTTCCTTCCCCCAGGTTGGATAAGTTCTCTCTTCTTTCTAGGAGCCCTATATTGTGAATGTCCATATGCTTGATGTTGTCCCAGAGATCTCTTAACCTATCTGCATTAAAAATTTCTTTTGCTCTTCAGGTTGGGTGCTTTCCATTAGCCGGTCTTCCAGATCACTGATCCACTCCTCTGCATCCTCTAATTTGCTGTTGATTCCTTCTAGTGTATTTTTCATTTGTTACTGCATTCTTTCCCTCTGATTGGCTCTTTTTTGTATTTTCTCTTTGTTGAAGCTCTGAGTTCATCCACTCTTATGTCTATCAGGTAGATTGTTGCTCTCCATTTCATTTAGTTCTTTTCCTGAAGTTTTGTGCTTTTGGTTAGAGCACATTCTTCATTTTGTGTTTATTTCTATGAAATAGAAGAGCTACTTCCTTTCTAAACTTGAGGAAATTGCCTTGTGTAAGGCTGGCTGGTGTAGACTGTGTGTCTGGCCATTGGGCTGGCTGTAGCAGGTGTGTGGACTGGGGATCCCAGCACTCTGCAGAGAGCACTCCAGCAGGACAGCTGAAGCTGAAGTAGGGACAAGGTGGGGGAGCCCGGGGCTTTTTCTGCAAGGTACATAACGGTAAGACTGCTGGAGCCACAGGAGGCCTGGGCAGAAAGTCCCCCGGCAATATGTGCGGGGGGGGGGGGGGGCTGCCCAGGCAAGTCATCTGGACTGTCCCAAGATGCTTTGCCCCTGTGTCACCTTGGTGATACAGCTGGAGCTGTAGTCTATGCTGTCTAGGTATACCCAGTGTGTGCTGGGGCCCCAGGTTCACAGAGATAGCAGGCCAGCCCAGGAGCCTGGATCCTATTTAAATCTGCATTATCAAGGTGAAGTGGTGTAAACAGGCGCGTGCTGCAGCCTCTCTGACCGGAGAGTGTTCCAGCAGGCCCCCTACTGCTTGGTAGAGAGCTAGTTCCTTAAAAAGCTATGGTTTAAAAAGGCAACTAGAATGTTATCTGCATCTCAGGGCAGATAAATCTGTTCAGTCCCTCAATTCTATCCCTCCCCACTGCAGTTTACAGTGTTGGGGTGGGGGTTCCCAGTTGTTACCATGTCAGTCTCTTCCACTGTTCTCTATGGGAAGCTGTCCAGTCAGCCCTCAGAGAAGGGGAGATCAAGGTTTTCCTACTTCACAAACTTCACCTAAGAATTCAAATGAAATGGGCTAAAGCTACCCCAAATAAAAGAAACAACTCTGTATACAAGGAAAATGCTTTCACTAAGAGAAAGGTATGAGGAATGCAAAGACATTTTTGTTGAGGGAAAACTTAGAACAAAATCTGAATGTAAAAAAGGAATTTTATATATGGTCAGTAATGGCTAAGATTAGAATAAATTTAAGTTTTAACATTAGTTTATTATTTATGAAAAGCAAACCAATAATCTAAGATTCTATGTCTTCATCAGATCTTTGATCATTCAGGAAAACTGAGTCTTCAATATTAAAAGAGCCAAGTTTTGCTCACAATTATGTAACCTTCGGTATTTAACTTTAAAATCTTTTGTCACTTTGGTTAAATATTTCAGAATGATCAGCGATCCTATTTAATAAAATGTTCAAACATTTTGATGTTTATTGACAAACTTTCCAAAATCAAATTCTAAAGTCTTTTCATCACAATCTAATTGAAATATTCCAGAGGGCCCATAGATATCTGGTCTCCTTATAAAAAGACTACAGTAATTAGGCTTGTTAAGTTAAATGGGAAGCTCTGTCAACTGAGTGATACTGAACTCTCTCAGATTATATTTATGTAGAAATGTTATTAAAAACTGTATGAAGCTCTTAGAAATCAGGTATGTCCTGGTATGTATGAAGTGTTGTGTGTCACAAATAACCGAATCTCCTCGTCAACTGCATTGCTGTGAACTCTGATAGGATCTCTAACCACGGCCACTTTTAAGTCTCTTCTTGTTTCCGGACAGTTACACTCAGATGCTTTTACAAGCCCTCCTGCAAATGTGTTTCGTCTGCACTGAGACTCATGGAAAGAAACTGGAGTACAGTTTCTGATAATATTAAGATCATGCAACTGAACTTGGTAAGAATTTCCAGAACTACTGAAAGAATTAGATTTAAGCAAAACAAGAATAACATGGGACTGAATGAATTGAGGATGATTATAATTCTTATGACTTTCTTTTGTTGAAACATTGTTTATCCAGATTTAAAGAAATCAAGATGACTCACAGCAATTTGATAAAATATACCTTTGTGAATAAAATATTTATCTTCTCTCTACCTGATCCCTTAGGAATTCAAAAACTCTCAGTATTCTTATATTTTCATAATATATTCATTTGCATAAGTTCAATAAGTAACGGGACACAACAACTGGAAACCCTGGTGATATTACCAAGGCTTTGACTGGAATGTCTTATTTGAGGGAGACCTGCATAAACTCAGCTATTACCAGAGAGCTTAAGGAACTAAGGTTGACTATATGGAGCCAAAAAAGCCCCCTGGAAAAATAGCCTGATATCTTGCTGACAGGGTTCCCAACAAACTTACCAGGTGAGGAGAGAAGGTCACTTCCTGGCAGGAAAAAGAACCTCGGGATACTTTGGGGACCTTGAGAAAGAATTAATCCAAATCTACAGGTGTTACAGGTGAAATCTGTGGCAAGTATTTGGCTTGGCTTCTAACCTTGAGAGGCTGTAAAGTGCAGTCTGGAGAGTCCTTATAAAAAGCCTATACGATCAATCGCTATTCTTGCTGCACTTATATGAGGAATCAGACCAAGTTCTAAAAAACTAGACTTATTTTGCAAACCAATTAGTCTCAACTGGGCTATCTTTGGTAAAAATGAGTGTGCTTATAAAGAGAAAAACTTTCAATAACATACCTTTGTGAATACTATATTCTAATACACTTCATTATAAACTGGACAAGATCCTGATTTCTTCTGGTTTTCTCCAGTGCCTGGCTACAACTCCCCCAACTAACATTTTTGTTTTTCTTCCCCATCCTTTTTACCTGGCTTGCTAACCAAAAACTGTGCTTTTTCCTGAAGCCCTGCAAACTGCATATAAACAACTTAAACTTCAGAGAAGCGACAACAGCTCACATGTACACAATCCGGATGACTTAAAAAGATCACAGAAACTCAAATTACAAACCATGAAAATACATCAGACTGCCACTGCCAGTAATCCAGAAATCCACTCGACTGGCTCCCCTCAGAAACTGGTTTATAATCTGATCCAATCATTAACCATTGCTTTTGTTTCCACAGAAATGGCTTATTCATTCCCGATTTGAACCATTGGACTAACTCTGAGAACACATCACCACCTCCTGAAATGAGTTTAACTAAACTGATGTATTGTCAGAACCCAGCCTGGTTCATTGAAATGGAACAATCTGGAACTTTTGATGTGTGAAACTTCCAGGGAAATTTCGGTGGAGGGAACCGCAGGGGTCAAGGGCAGGCCCCATAATGTACCACAATGGCATACTCATTATTTTTGAATTGAAACTATGTGGGAAACAGCAGGTACAAGGATACTCAGACCCTCCTCTATCCTCCTGAAAGCAGAAAATAAGTCTCCCACGTGAAAGGTACCCTCCCTGCACTAAGAAAACTAAAAAAAAAAAATAATAATAATCTTTATTTAAAGCCAAGAAAGCTGCAGAAACAAACCTGGTTATATTTTTACTAATCTACTACCACAGCCCGAATTCCTTACTAAAGCTCCCAAACATCCATTTTCTTTATCCTGTCAACTCCTGACAGGTTTACTGTCTAAAGTGTATATTTTTAAAATGCCTGCTTTGGTCTTCTGTTTAGGTTTCAGTTTCCTTATTGGGACTCCCGGGTGCACAAAATAAAACTGATTTTTTTTTCCTCCTGTTAATCTGTCTCATGTAAATTTAGTTCCTAGTCCAGCAGGAAGAACCTTGGACAGGAAAATTTCTTCCTCCCCTTCACTCTGACATGCCAACTGATCCACCAGCCCACAGCTAATTCACTGGCTTTGAATAATTCCTGAGGTTTTCCACTTCCCCTCTCCCTGGCATTTGGCACTGGTGAGTAAAGTGAGCTCAAGGTGGGGTGAAAAGAGCAAACAAGAACATGATTTTCCAAATACAGAAGAACATGGTGGTTAAGATTTTCACCCCCTTTCAGGTAACAAAACATATAAACATTTTTACATTTACCCTCATGTTCATACTTATCTATACATATATTCACATATGGGCCAGATCTTCTCACACTCCAAGTATCAATGCTTATAACGATGTCTAACAAAATGCGTGTGACACAGATATAAATACCTTGTAAAAATCCAGAAAAACATCTGAGAGGCCCCAGAGAATAGAGGCATAAACAGATACAAGATTACAGGTGTGGAAAACTATACAAATTTTCAGTGGAAAAGTACACAAGTGAACAGAGACTGCAATGAGGACACTGGAGGTGGGGCTTAGGAGGGAAACAAAATAGGGCAGAAGGGAGGAAAGGTGCTCAAGAAATGACCTCATGTTATTAGAATGGTTTAAAAATGTCAGGTAATCTTCCCACAAGAATAAGGTACTGTAGCATTTCATAATTGGATAACTGGGCAGGAAGAAGGAGGAAAAACTAGATTGTGTCTAAATACTTTAAAAGTTGATGATAGACACTTACCAAGTACATTAATGATTGTTTCAGACGAAAAGGAAAATAAAAAGGATCAAGAAAAAAAAATTAAAAAATGAAAAAGAGCATTTATAATGTGACAAGAGAATTGTGTAAAGGCTGATGTAGGTATTACATTAATTTAGATATCCACCATTTTCTCCTGTTACTTTATCTATGACACTGGTCAAGCTGTTAGGTGGGTACACAAGTATGTATACACATGTACACACACACACACACACACACAGTATACTTTCTGGCTAGTATCCTCTGCTATTTGATCTTTGCTCTAAAGGTAGAGTAACACCAATCTCTTTTGTAAACAAACTCTATGTCTAGGGCACACAGTTACATAGTCTTGACCCAGAGAAAGAGGAGAAGCACTTTAGTAGACATTTCTCCTTCAGTTGCATGGGTCTGGTCCTCTACAAAATGGTTTATTTGCCTCTTTAATAAAAGTTGAAATTAGTTTCAACCTGGATTGAAAAATCAGTTATCCTATGGAAATAAATGGTCCAAAAAAAGTTGTTAATGGAAGTGTTAGTGTCCATTAGACATATTTTCTTACATCTGGCCCCTAGAGAGAAAATCAACTCACAGGGCATTTCAGACATTCTGTTCTTACATATGTTCATTTTTTGTTTAAGTGCCATAATCTGTCCATATATAACCTCTTGTTAATAAAACCAGCAGAGGTGTTCAGACTGAGAGGGACATGTACTTTCTAAAACCAGAATCTAAAACCTAACAGACCCAGTTAAATGCTGCCTGTGTACACCAACCATTTCAATAACTAAAAATTTTCATCAACATAAAAAGGATAACACTAAGTTATGAAAGCCTGTTAAGACTCCAGATACATAGCAATCCAATAGCCCCTAGGGACAGGTCCTTCTATTAAGTGATTTTTAAAAAAGCAGCTTTTATTGTTTTTAAGAGGATATTTAACACAAGCTATTTATAGCATCATATAGCCTGAGGAACTCTACATATTTCAAAGAAAATGCCTTTTGATTCCATGAATGGGTTCACACCAAATTCGGCATCTTTTAGAGTAGACCAATTATTAGCACTGGAAAGTTGTCCTCCAGAACAACAAATTAGTCTGAAAACCCAGTGACTAACATGGAGAAACAATGAGGCAGCTTAAGTTACCTCCCCAGAGCGACCCAATGGTTGTGGGACACTATTTCAGACCCCCTCAGAGAACAGCTGTAGATGGAGAAGGAAATATCCACACCACAGAATGAGACAAGGAGATCTGGAGAACCACATCGCAATGTAAGAACACAGTCCATGCCCAAAGGGAAAAGGAAGGGCTTTGTGTGCAAAAGAGGGAAGTGCATGTACCTCTGTGAGGTTAACGAAGGTCCGAGGCTGAGTGAAGAACGAGGAAACAGAAGAACAGACTTTCATGCTCTTTTTCTCAAAATTATCCCAGGAAGGAAAAACCACACCTCCGAAATGATTAGCCAGAAAGGGCATCATGTTTCTACACAGTAGAACACATTACCTCCCAACCATCTGTAAATACCCACCAAGAACACGAAGATACCTCATAGGAAAGAAAAAATCCACCTTCATTTTCATTGTGACTGGACCTGATTTATCCACCACTCCCACCATATACTAGTCTACTCCTTAGCCTGACTGCCCATGACTCTATCAGACTGACAGGCAGAGCGGGATCTCTCTGGTTAAGAAGCCTTACAAAGAGTTAACGCACCCACTGGGAACCAGCCCTGCGCGTACCTGGCCAGGCCTAGAGGGGAGCTTGGGCTCTCTGGGTGCCGCCGAGGGTCAGCTGCTCCCGGCCACCCTGGCAGCACCATCTCCATTCTGAGCTGAAGGGCTCCATGTACAAGACGGAGGGAAAACGTCTCTCCCTCCTGATTCACATAAACCTTTCTTATTAACTGCGCCATAGAGATGTGCCACAGGGTCTGTTCTAAGCACAGAAAGCAAAAGACTTTTGCATAAGGGAAAAAAAAAAAAAGCAAGATGGGGAAAGAATACCCACTGGCCCTGCTCCAGGGTGACAAGGCTCTGCTCACATGGACAACCGCTTCTTTTCCGGGCCCAGTGTCACCGGGGTCTCAATTCACAGGGTCACTCAGCTGTGTCCCAAGGATGAGGCCTGGAGCATCTGACTGGCTGACAGTGCTGCGGGGGTGGCGGGGGGGGGAGGGAGTGGAAAGGTGACAGAAAGAAGGGACGAGGCCACAGGAGGGTAATGACTGTGTGGCAGAGAATCATCAGAAAGGCAACAAGAGATCAACTCGTCTGAGACCACTCATATAACACTAGTAGCTGTGGGGACTCAGAATTCAATAAACAAGTAACAGTACTAAATATTTTGGTAGACAAAACAAGTAACAAACTGGCTGTTTAATAGCAGAGAACTGTTCTTGTTTCTATTTCATGGTTGAGGGGTGTCCATTTAGAGTCTGCAAACCTTGGTCTGTACAGACTTAAGAAATCTGAGAAGTCCCTCCTTCTGAGGATTCTCTGGTACAAGGCTGGTTCAGTACTTCAGCATTAACGAGTGTGAAATGGTGGCCAGACTTTCACCAGACCCTGGCCCATTAGGACATTGGTCTCTGCTCCAGGCAGACCTCAGTTTTTCTTGTCCTTCTGAGGCTGGCTTTTTGTGGTCCCTAGGTTGTTCCACACTTCTGAGTACATTAGGGTCCCAGTGAAGACAAACAAGGTACCCAGCCAGTGCCACAGCGTGAACGGGTTCTGGAAGTACAGGATGGAAAAGATGAGGCTGACAAACTTGCGCAGAGTCACGACAAGGGTGACGGTAAGGGAGGCACATTCTGTGGTGAGAATGAAGACGCCCCGGATGCACACGTACCTGGAGTGGTGGGGTTAAGGTGGTTTTCAGTAGACTAGGGAGAACACCAGGGAGAACATTCTGGCATCGCTCTTAGTTTAAACGTTCATATTCTAAGAACCAGAAAACACGGGGGTGGGTTATGGCTGCTCTGAGGCTCTTCCTTAGTACAACACCCTGCAGAATGCATGTCCTACCACCCATCTGTGGATCCTAACTTGAAACCGCCTGCGGAACTCCCACTATTCTTGTTCCGAATCCTTCACACGGTTTACGGTGAGGGTCCCCCTCCCAAGCAGTGACAGTAGGTCAGCAAACCTACTTTAGAGGACCCGGGCTCCACTACTCGTCCAAAAAGGAACTCTGCCGGCAAATCTATTAGGTGATGTCAGAGAAATGAGACCCATCTCGACCTGTTTCATGGTTTCAAAGCCTTCATGATTTTTATAACATACTTAAGGTCGTTCAAAAGAACCATTGAAAAAATTAGGTTTTAGTTTGAAATTTCTTGCAGAATTTTGTGGCAGCTTGTGACATATCCTAGGTTACTGAAAAACTCCAGCAGAAATCACAGAGCATTCATGTCATATACTCATACTTAGTTATCCATTGATATCTACACCTCCACCCAGAGCAAGTCCTTTGTGGTGCCCAGTGACTTACTGACCTACTGCAGCACTAACATCTCTCTGGCCCCCCACGAAGGCACCTCTGTCTCTGGCAGTACAAAACAGATCAAGGCAGAAACAAAACTCATGTCACCGCACCATCAGAAGAATAAACATTCCTATGTCAAAAGACCATGGAGCAGACCATGTGGCAGAGGAGTGCAAAGGATACTGAGTGATGACATTCATGAGGAGGTAGAACCACATGATGGGCACTGTCACACCAATGACTGGAACTTGATATAATTCTGCAAAGATAAAGAGGGGAGACAGTCATATTTTTGACAGCTTAATGGAGACTGAACATAAAAGAGACGGCAACAGTACCTCCCTTGCAAGTAGATTTGGACGGTAGACCACTTTACTTGCCTTGATTCCAGACTACATCGGTCTTAAGAGTCATTACACTGGTTTCTTAAATTATTTATTTTACCTGTAAAATAAACTCTTCACCATCCACCTGACTAGGACCCCACTTTACAAAGAAACACTGTGAGGCACAGAGAGGTGAAAAATGACATGGTCTTAACTGACAATCGACACGTGAGTAAAGACAACCTGTAACTAAATGTCATTTGGAAATATATTCAATCCTACTAGTAACTGAAGAATTCAAAACTGAACAAGGCTCTACCATTTTATACTCTATTAAAACAGCAATTAAAAACTTATAAAATCCTAATCTGGAAATGTGGTAGTGGAATTGGCAGCCACTCAGTTGGTAGTGGTATCAACTACCGGTGTGTGTTTTTTTAAAATCAATTTCATAATGCTTATATTAAGGGACAAGTATTTATATTCATTCTTAGGAATTAGTCCTCATGAATTCAAAAGAAGAAAATTCTCCATTGATGGGAGTACTATTTATAAGGAGGAAAAACTGAATCAATCTCAATGGTTAATCTTAGAGCAATGGCTGTGTAAGCAAAGGAACTTCCACTAAATAAGGCAGGACACATTTGATTAAAAAAGAATCACGAAGATTATATACACTCACATAAAAAAGAAGGCAAGTGAAAAAGCAAGTATAAAATTTATCTACACAAGGATGACAACTATGTAAGAATATATGTAAGCAGTATCTGGAAAAAGAAACTGCTAAAACGAAATTAGCTGACGTCTAAGGCGATGGAACTGTAACTTTTCTTCCCTTAAATACATTCTTATGTTCTGAGGCTTGCATAGTAAATATTTGGGAAGAAATAAAATATTCAAGATCAAAGAGAGTAAGGACATAGTAATCCTCAAAAGATCCGTTTTTAAAAATTCCTCAGTTGTTTGGGGAGTTGAATTATACAGTATAACTTAGGAAATTCTAATAGTGACAGTGAGGTCTGGTTAGTAAATGAATGTTACTAGTAATAGTATTACTATTTAATAGCTTCAGAGATCCACTGAATCCAATGAATATTACTAGTAACTAAATCAAAATCAATCCCAAGGAATCTGGTAATATGTTTATGTCAGTAGCCCTTCGTTATGTGGGAATTCTCAAGAGACCTTAAAAATCATTGTGTCAAAAATGGCCATGTGTTGATTCTATCTTCAAAAAAAAAAGCCAGAAGTGATTGAGTAATTTGGAGCCTTAAAAACTTCCTGACGCACTACCTTCATTACACACTTTTGGTGGGTAAATGGGACAGGCAACCCTGCAAACTCCAAGAGGAAGCATTCACACCGTCCCAACGCAGGTTCTGAGGGCAAACAAGTTAACAGGGTACATACTGCCCTACCACAAAACACACCTGCCATTTTGGATACGAGCAACATAAAGCCTTAATTTTACACGTTTCTTTGTTCCTGTGTCCGTCTACACACTATGTCTTTTAGTCGATAATCACATAAGTAATTCCTTTCAAGTTAATTGGCAATTTATAGCTAGTTGATTAAACAGCCCCTTAAAAAGTAATAGCTAACTTACCCTGTAGACATCTGAACTAATTTTGCTTATTCCTGCTGCCTACCTACTCTGTATCTTGGAAAAAAGCCCCCTTGTGGTTCTTGTTTCCCCTGACTCCAAAGGAGCTAGGATGGGGTGTGCGAGCGGGTCTGCCTTCGCCAGCAGCAAAGGAAGAGCAGGAACACACAGAGCTGGATGGCTGCCCAGTTTCTCACGGTCCCACCTCTGCAGGGGGGTATTGCTATTTTTTTGCATTCTCAAAACATCAAATGTTCCACACATGCAAATGCAAACACACAAATTCCAAAGCAAAATAGAAAATTTGAAGATACTCTCTTCCATCGTTTGCAAATGACTGAGAAGCACCTGTAAAAGTTTTTGCCGCTGCAGCCGCTGATGAACAGCACTGTATCCCCAGGAGGTGGAGTGGGGATGGCTCCCAATAGGGCAATGATTTGGAAAAGATCGTGAAAAAAGCAGCAGTCAAGTCAATAGCAAAACTGAGAGGTGGCCGCAGAACCTGTCAGGTAATTCTACCAAATAACATCCTACTCACCAGACTTATTGAACAGAACTGCATGGTCATAAATATCGGAAGCCAGGAAGATGAAGCCAGGAAGTGGAAGGGCATGCTATGGGAAGGAAGATTTCATGTAAATTTAAATACAGACACATGATACAATGTGTAGAGCAGCTTTACAATGTCTTACTGCTTGTCAAACAACTCATAAAACTGTATCAAGAAAAACAATTCAGACTCGTTAGGTTAAATGTATCCAGGGCTTCGGACCAGGTGACACTGTCCAGCGTGCTACTGACCCAAACTGCAGTTCTTGCCCTTACGGAACGGAGTCAATGATCACCACATACTAAACAAAACAAAACAAAACAAACGGAGCCAGCATCCTTCCCTCAACAAAAGGGAGGTTTGAACTCACAGCCATTCGGACCATAGGATTTGCTACATTTTGCTACTTTTGGAAAATGGCTTGGCAAACAGAAAGATTTAAAAATTATAAAGAAGGCAAAGGTCAATTTCAGGGAGTTTAGGTAACTCTTGGGAAAAAGAGGTTTGAGGACAATACGAGGTCAGGGAAAATGAAGACAAGAATAAAAAGAGGACGGAGAGGACATGACAGGTCAGCACAGGTGAACGTGCTTGACAAGCGCCACCAGCACCACAGTATGGGATCACAGCTAACGTTACGGGCCAGCCACTCCGTGCCAGGTACAATTCTCAAAGAAAGATGTGAACCAGATAGACTGTTCCTTATTTTTTAAACTCCCAGCCACATACTCCAGCTCCAGTTAAATATCTCAACCGGATTGTCTGCAGCTTCTGGCGGTGAAGGAACACCTGACTCATCCGACTCCACCTGAACACTGAAGCTGAAGGCATCTCTACCACCCAGAACCTTGAGGGGCTGTGTTTTGGATGTTCTCTCCATAGGAGAGAGGTTGGAGGACGAGTACAGTTAGAGAGAGTAGCTCTGGCTCAGCAGTTTCCAAAAAAGCAGCGAAGCACACAGAAGTCGGTAATGAAACTATCCATCGAGTAAAGAGAGCTCCTCAGAGGGACTGCGCTCACCCCTCTTCCCCCGTCTCTCAAATGCCTGCCACCTGCCTGCCAACGTCCCCCTCGGCATGTTGTTTTTGGAACTTATTTTCCTGTTCCAAGTTTCCATAGTGGTTTTAACTTGATTTCATCTCCAGGAACATTGGGGGGGTGAAGGTTCTCATCCCCAGACTTGTTCCTGGTTGGCAGACATGCTAGGTTCACACTGATCTATCATCTCATATAGAGAACTGTGGCTCAGAATACACATTAGTAGCCTATTAAAAATACTTGGTCCTTCGACTACATCAGAAAAATGCATACTTCATTTGAAATAAAAGATTACAACTCAGTACTTTTTATCTTCCTCAGGTTTAAGAAATTGCTTACGTTATAAAACAAAGCCTCCTTGGAGTGTTTCCCAAATTGTTTGTATAGGGTCTCTTGGAAAATACCCATCCTTGCTGACATCAGAAGTGCAAAAGTCAGTGCCCCAATTCCTAAAAAAAAAAAACAAAAATCAGGTTACAAGATACTAGATTTGCTCATTTCCAGATGTTTTCCTAAAGACCACCGACTGTTCTACACTAATTACAAGCCAGCTGTAGAACATGGACAAAATTTTTAAAAGAAATAAAAAATCAACCACAGGATCACTACCTACTACTTGATAGGTTGCACTCTCTCTCTATATATATATATTTATGTATATATTTAATGCTAAAACAGGACAATGAACATACAATTGTACATCTTGCTTTCTTCATGATCTTTTTCTTGGATTTTCCTTCAAGTCATTAAAATTTTTTCAAAGGTATGAATTCATGGCTCCATGACTCTATCACGTGGAGGGACCAGATTAGCTGTCTTATGAGAATGATTAGATTACTTCCAATTATTTCACCACTCAAATCAATGTACATCCTTGTACATAAATCTTGAAACAAAATGTTGATGATTTCCCTTAGGATAAACTTTCCTAAATGAAATTACGGAGTCAAAAGTTGTAGACATTTTTAAAACTCACTACTAAATTTTTCCTGAAAGGCTGTGTCAATTTCTACCATAAACAGTTTATACAAAAATGCACCCTCAGCAGCGATGAGAATAATCGTTTACTATCTTGCCATTTTAATAGGCCAAAAATAAAAAGGTACTACATTTTGGTTTCAATTTGCATCTCTCTGATTCCAAGACCATTCAGGCTGAACCTAAGAATCAGATATTAATTTTTCCCCATGAACTGTATGTTCATATCCTCTGCAAATTTTTCTTATCGGATGAAGTGTTTTCTAACAGCTCATAAAGATTTTTCTATGTGAAGAAGAGCGACCTGAAGGGATAGTTTCGAAGCCAAGCGGCAGGGAGAATCGAGTTTTTTCATTGCTATTTCTCTGCGGCTTAGTCTCGAACTGTTACTGCTGCTACCGGCTGCACTTGGAAAGAGTTTCGCCTCTGTATCCGACAACACGAGGCCAAAGCTCTACAGTAGTTGTCTAATTCCACAAAGAGATACTCATTTTTAAAAATTCCCTAGGAGACTCAGATGATCAGTCAGGTTTGGGAACACTCATTATGGAAGAGCTAACTTATGAAGAAAATGATTCTAAAATTTAGAAATGAGTCCCCTGGAAATTTACTGCTTCTACTCGGGAGACAGATCGTGAAGAACAGGAGGATACTCGAAGCACTCGCTCCCAGAGAGGGACAGGCAACCGACATGCACTTTTCTTTCTGTATCAGTGGCAACCAAGGAAATCGTGGATCCACGTTGTAGAACCCACTACCCTGAACATGGACATTTTCTTTTTTCATGCTCTGAACACCAAAGTTCAGAGATACGTGATCCCAGGTGCCTCTCTCTTCTGTGGCATGATCTGTTTAGCCAAAGCTTCTTGCCAAGAAACCCGTTCTTCGGGAGAAAACTCAGCAAACAGAACTGCAGAGGCAATTAGCTTTATTGTAATTATTGTACTTGCCTAGTAGCCACCTTAAAAATGCCTGGAATCCATCATTCTCACTCGAGCTGGACTGGGAAGTCTAGGAAGGAAAGAAAAATACCAGGTAGAGAGACCAGAACTACATGCAAGGTGCCCGGGTAGAAAGTAATGATCTGTGTTACCCATTCCCCTCCACTCTCCTCTTTAGCAGAGACCCAAATCCTATTGCATAAGCCTGTAAACGTACTGTATCAATAAAAAGCACCGGGGCCCCCATGGCAAGCAGTGAATAGAAATGATTTGTGAAGCGATTCTTACCACCTGCTTTGCTGACATGAAAGTGCAAATAAATATCCCCAGAGACACCAGGGCAATGGAGGTATATTTGAATATGCTGTATCTGCAAGAACAAGAACAAGAACACCTTAAGAAAAGCACAGATACGAATTTCCACATGATGCTCACAGTCAAGTGTTGCATAAGAGCACAAATCACCAAAATACGGCTGACGGTACCACACACATGAAGGAAGCAGCGTGCTAATGACTGAACACACTCTTCTAGTGTTGCTTAAAATAGTTTCCATTAGTTTGTGGACCGAGAGATTGTTTCATCAGAAAACAAAAACAAAGAAAGACATAGACCAGACATGATACTCCATTCTGCTTGAGTCCCAGTGAAAGCTGGGCAGATCTTAACTGCCACCTGTGGCTTTTCTGGTCTTCGAGGGCCCAAACATGAGTGTCAGAGACACACCAGACAAGAGGAAGAACGGAGTCTCAGAGACAAGCAGCAGGACTCAATGCTCAAAAAAAAAAAAAAAAATCATTCAACTGTGTTGTCGGGAGAGGATATTTTTAACAACTTTGAATGACTTAAATGTTTTTAAATGTCAGCACAGTTGGATAAAAGAAGAAATATTACACTAACAGGACTGATAGCAGTAAGAACAGTGGCATTTCCTATTAACTAAAACAACATCGGGGCGCCTGGGTGGCTCAGTCGTTAAGTGTCTGCCTTCGGTTCAGGTCATGATCCCGGGGTCCTGGGATCGAGCCCCGCGTCGGGCTCCCTGGTTGGCAGGAAGCCTGCTTCTCCCTCTCCCACCCCTGCTGCTTGTGTTCCTTCTCTCACTGTGTCTTTCTCTGTCAAATAAATAAATAAAATCTTAAAAAAAAAACATCATTAACATCCCTCTTGGGCCTCTTACTGATAAAGCAGAAGGCCTCAGGCAAGAATGAAAAGGAATTAAATTTACAGGATGAACCGTCCAGGGTTTTCTAGCCAAATACTTTTTGTAGAGTTCTGATCACATCACCTCATAAAAGGCCAACAGGACTAGCTAAGCAGCAGATCAGGCGCCAAAAGCTACCTGCTAGTGGACAGAGGCAGGATGAGGTAACAGGCTCTGAGGAAGCAGATAGAAAAGTAAGGGAGGGCGCCTGGGTGGCTCAGTCGTTAAGCGTCTGCCTTCGGCTCAGGTCATGATCCCAGGGTCCTGGGATCGAGTCCCACATCGGGCTCCCTGCTCTGCGGGGAGCCTGCTTCTCCCTCTCCCACTCCCCCTGCTTGTGTTCCTGCTCTCGCTATCTCTCTCTCTGTCAAATAAATAAATAAAATCTTTAAAAAAAAAAAAAAAAAGAATTTAAAAAAAAAAAAAAAAAAGAAAAGTAAGGGAACTCTTCAGTCTGGAAAGATCCAGACAGGGAGAGATTTGTAACTCAGGCCTAAAAATTAACAAAGGGCAGGTTCAGGTAAGTACAGACTTGGCCTTCAAATCCCAAAATGAGGAACATACTATGAACCTAAGGGGCTCTGCTCAAAATACACAAAAGAAGACAGTAACTTCCTAATTCCTGATATTAGATGGTCACCTTAAGGAAATTCCTGCTCTCTGGATGATACACACCAAGGAGAGTCAAAAGGGCTTACTTGGATAGATTCAAGATGACCCAACACAAGTTCCCCAGGGAAATGGAGATGTTTAAGAAAGACCCCTGACATTTCAGAGCACTATCAGGAGAATACATTCCTTGTATAATATGTTCTTTCGTAGCCCTATCATGAGCAAAATCAAAGGTTGGAAGGCCTGCAGGTCTGTCCCAACGTCAAGTCTACACTACCAAGAAGCTTAGCAGTCACTTCAATGTAACAAACCCATTACATATGAACACTTAATGTGGAGACCTGAAAAGGAAGTCGACTGCAGTTGTACTCATCTGGGGAATACATAAGCCTCAGAAGACAAAGGGTTCATGATAAGAAGCCTAGCAGGAGAGGACAGCTGCCCTCCTTAGGACACTGCTCATATTACCTAAATGCTCTAGGTTCCCACACTCTCAATTGGCAGCACTTTCTAAGCTGGGATAGAGTTCTGACACTGGGGCTAGATACTGAATACAGAGAAGAGCTGGCGTGAGCTTGTACCATTGTGATCTTAACAGTGAGGGTGAACTGCCCCTGAGGAATGTTCCAGACTGAATGTGCTGACTCTCCCCAATGCCCTTCCTCCTTGGGAGTAAGGGGCAAGGCTCAGAACGAAAGTGGAAGACAAATACTTTGAGAAAGTATCCCAGGTATTTCTGATATTTCCCAACCATATCCCAGAGAGAGGCACTGGTGACAGCCACATGAAACAGTCCTGAAAGTTTTCACCCCATCTTCTTACCATTTGGGTCTTTGTTAGGAACTTTCTTTCTAACATGGGTATCGTTAGTTCATCACATCGTAATGATTAACACCTCCTATGACAGTGTTGTCCAAGAACTTCCGCGAAGTTGATAATGTTCCATATCTGGGTTCTCCAACATGGTTGCCACTAGCCACACGTGGCTACTAAGCACTTAAAATGTGAGAAACTAAATATTTAACTTTAAATAACTTAAATTTAAATGTAAATAGTCCCATGTAGCTAGTGGAGACTACATGGGACAGTGAAGTTCTAGATCAACTGGCTTTGGAGGTTACTATGGTACTAAAGATTCAGTGGTGACAAGAGCTACTTCGTTCTACACAGAGGAAATGCTGCTCCAAAGCCACAGGTGGGGCCCCTTACCCCATCCACTGCCTCAGGATGCACAGCACTGTCACGGAGACAACAGAGAGACAAGCTAGATGATCAAGAGCAAACTTATCACCACTATGAGAAAAGGAATCCAGCTTATGGATGGGGCTCAGGATATCCTTCCTACACATAAAATATGAAAGTATATTGTTTACCTTTTCTTCAAAATGATAATTCCTAGGATCATGTTGGCAATTAGAGAACCCTGTAAAAGGACAACAGTAACAGAGTTTTAGTGCACCAGGGAAAGAAAATAATTCAAGATAAATAAGAACACCGACAAGCAGGAAAAAGAGCCAGAAAGGAGGAGATTAGAATGAATAATTAGTAAGGTTCACTTGTTCTTATAATGGCAAAAAGTATAAACTATACAAATCTATTATGTAAATTAATAAAACCTTCTGAAGATAACAATGAGAATAAAAATGATCAATTCTCTAAATATTGGTCAGAGCTGAAACTAAGGCTAGCAGAAATTATATTGTAGACTTAATTTTGTTAAATTTTCCATCTGATTTAGGAGAGCTTTTGCTAGGCTTCTCCTCACCCCCGGTTTTAATTAATGAAAGAAGGCGTGCAGGGATCTTTCTCTTCTCTAGAAAGCTGTCGCTCAATCAGCAAGAGTTTATTGAAAGTCTATTATGTACTCAGTACTTTGAAAGTCATCTTTGTAAGTATAATTAGCTCTGAGAAGTCCCTTTGAGGATAGCACCTTTAATCTCCCAGAAATCTCAGACTACACAGAAATGTTATAATTCCAATGGTCACCAATTTTGCATTCTTCTGCAATCCTAACTACATTCCCCTTGAAGTTTTCTTGCTCTTCAGGGAGCACTCTGTTATTTATTTATATATAGATCTCCCACCAAATATGAGAGGAAGGAAAAAGCCACTGCTGCTCTGGGAGAAACCCCACCTTCATCAAGAATTTCCCTTTATTGGGGCGCCTGGGTGGCTCAGTCAGTTAAGCATCTGGCGGCTCAGGTCATGATCTCAGGGTCCTGAGATTGAGTCCTGCACCGGGTTCCCTGGTCAGCAGGAAGCCTGCTTCTCCCTCTCCCTCTGCTCCTCCCCCTCATGCTCTGTCTCTCTCTCCAATAAATTAAAATCTTTAAGAATTTCCCTTTATTTAGAGCACCTGGGTGGCTCAGTCAGTTAAGCCTCCCACTCTTGGTTTTGGCCCAGGTCATGATCTCAGGGTCATGAGATCGAGCCCTGCATCAGGCTCCACACTCAGTGGGGAGTCTCCTTGAGATTTTTGTCCCTGTGTTCCTCACTGCACCTGTGCATGTGCACGCTCTCTCTAAAATAAATATTTTTTAAAAATAAGAATTTCCCTTTACTTAATGGTCTCAAAAGTCTCTTGCTTTAAAAAAAAAAATCAAAAAAGGGAAGTATCAATTTTATGTACTAGAAGTAAATGTAATTTTATGAAAGAAACCAAAAGTGATGAGAAATAAGTAACATTCATAGCAAGTCTGAATATAAAATCAACCAGATGAGGGAAATTAAACGTAAAATCTGTCTCCCAGGGAAATTTTAGCTCCTTTTATTGATCACGCATAAGACCTCAGAGGGATGAAAGTCAACTGTCCACTCTGCCTTACTGCGCAGATGAAAGCCAGTCTTTGCTCATGCATCCAGGAGACCTATTCTTAGACGCTAGACTCTACTAGTTATAAGACCTTTCTACTTTTGTCAAGTGTTCAATCGACCCACTTAGATGTCCCAGAGCAACATACACATGTAAGCCGGCAGCACTTACAGATCTAAATATCATATGCAGGGGCATGGCAATGTTGAGATTCAGGGCATAGTTGTTCACCACACTGACAGTGAAGAACATGGCTACCATCACAGCGTAGTACCTGAAACGCAGAGATCACAGCACATCACACAAAATCTACTATTTCAAGAAAATCAAGTATAGAAGGAAACAGTTATTTTTGGTTAGAAAAATATCTCGTTTTAGTCCCTCCAGATTAAAAGATTGTATCACTACTATAATGTGAAGTCAATACTAAGCACATACAAAAATACATCCAAAGCCAGACTAACATGGAAAAAGTCTGAATTATAGAATATGTTTTGGCTCAGGTCATGATCTCAAGGTCCTGGGATTGAGTCCCGCACTGGGTTCCCTGCTCAGCAGGGAGCCTGCTTCTCCCTCTCCCTCTGTTCTTCCCCCTCATGCTCTGACTCTCAAATAAATGAATAAAAGAAATACTATTTTAATCTTTCTTGAGTATACTTAGTATTTTTCAAGCAATTTAAAACCAGGCTTCAAAAAACATTATCTGAGGGATGCCTGGGTGCCTCAGTTGGTTAAGTGGCTGCCTTCGGCTCAGGTCATGATCCTGGGGTCCTGGGATCAAGCCCCAGGTCAGGCTCCCTGCTCAGCGGGGAGTCTGCTTCTCCCTCTACCCACCCCCCACACTGCTCATAATATCTCTTTCTCTCTCTCTCTCGGATAAAATCTTTTTTTAAAAAAAAGATCAAAAAAATAAATTTAAAAAAAGAAAAATATTTGAAATAATGGCTAAATAAATAAAATCTTAAAAAAAAGGTAAAAAGAAATTATTTTTTAAAAAAAAGTCTTTGAGCACAGATTCCCACCTTTTTCATCTTGGCACATCTGAAGAATGACAGCACCGAGATTCCAGTGATCTTCTTTGACAGGAACCTACCTGATGGTGCTGGTTGGATATGGACCTACATGGCCTAACCAGCAGCCATGCTGGGCTAAATTAACACAGTCTGTAAAGTTTGAGGAGCTTCATGATGAATGCAGGACACAGTACTACACACATGCAAAACTACTGCTGTTCAAAAGAAAACCACAGGCCCCAAATGCAAAATGGTGCCTTTACTTAAGGACCCAAGTCAGCAAACCAAGACTTAATTCCTAACCCAACTGCAGTTTCAACCAACCCTCCCTGTCCCCCCACGAATGTCACCTTTAACCAGTCAACATTGAATTTCCTGGTCAATACTAGGGAATTTACTAATAGACCCCCCTTCTGCTCTCTTTACCAGGCAACCTTACCTAACAACACATATGTTGCTAAGAAATTCCTTTCTTTTTTAAAAATGCCCTCTCTCTGCCTTTAAAAAGCCTTTCTCTTATTTACTCAGTGGAGCTCCCCTCTACTTGCTAGATGGAATGCTGCCCATTCATGAACAGTTCAAAAAACCCAATTAAATCTTCAAATTTACTTGGCTGAATTTTTTTTCTGAACACACTTGGTGGCAGCATCAGGATCCAAAGCAAACTTCTGACAGCATTCAGGGACAAGGAGAAACACAGGCGTGGTGCCCCAAGAACCCATTTGAGTTCTCTGTCTTTCTCGCTGTTTCCAAGGGCCGTTGGTAAGGCCCTCTTGGTTTCAGCTCCACTCTTTTTGCATTTAAGTACCCATCTAATTAGTTTCCTAATCCAGGGTTAACAGGTCTAGACAAACAGGAGCCTCTAACAGAGCACCAGTCCTTGGCCCTTGGTTCGTTCTGCAATTCCATATTGGCATCCCTTCCCCAGTTCCAGTCCACACTCCCCATTTACCAGGGTTTGGTGGTTTAATCCTTTACCCCTTTCCAGTCCACAGTCTCCCTGAATGGAGTCTACTGGTTTAGTCCACCCAACAAATTGCTGGTTTTGCCCATGGTCTTCTCTTGGCTAGTCCACAGGAACAACTCTTACTTACTACTGGTATGTTAAGGTACACATATTTGTTTTTTGTGTGTGTGTGTAAACAAAGGCTTAGCTTGGGGGTCCTTAAATTCTACAGAATCAAGCATGCCACCTTCTGGCATACCTGCTTATTTTAAGTCTAAAAACTATGGTGCCGGAAGCTGTGAACAGCTACAGAAATAAAGGACTAAAAAGAACCTAGAATTTACAATGGCCATGATGGAGAATGTTCCAATTAGATAAGGTCATTTAAGAAATGCCCTTGAATGCAAGGGTTCCCAAATTAAACAGAATGGGACATCTGTTTTAAATGGCAAGCAGAAGCCTCCAAAAGGTTCAAAATTCCAAAATAGTCTCACTAAAAGACACACATAAACAGCTAATGAAAATGAGAAAAAGTACCTAAAATGACTGTAAAACTGATGTAACTGCTACTGTTCTCCTCTGTCTTTTGAGTACTCATCCTACTCAGCCTCTTATGAACTGCCTTTCACTCTAAAGAGACTATTAAACAGTTACTTTTAGAAGAAAACCAGTTGAGGCTATAGGCAATACTCTTCACTCCTTAGTCAAAGGCCAAATTAAGTCCATAGTTGAATAATTTCTCAAACCTGGGGAGGATCTTCAAGAGTTTTTGTAACTATATCACTTCCTGAGCCCAGCTGAGAGAGGAAAATAAAAATTCACATTGTCCCTTCCTTTACAAATAATGGATAGTTGGAAGAAAGGCAAGCAGCAACTAGGCCCACCCCTCACCCCCACCCCAGCCGTAAGAGAAAACTACCTTTAAAAGGATTTTACACCACCCTGGAAGGAGCCCTCCACTCTTTCCCCCTGTGAACAACTACCTGATAGGTAGATGAGCGTGTGGACAAAAACCTGATTGGGTGACAGGTGCATGGAGGGTTAATCAGATTAAAACAACCCGCCAACATTTTCATCAAAACCCCTAGATTTAGAAACTCTGGCAGCAACCTTCTCAGGCCCACCTCCCTCTTCGGGAGCTTTGTACTATCACTCAATAAACTTTGCTTTGCTGCCCACCAGTCTTCAGCTGGTCTACTTCTTCATTCTTCAAAGCAGCATGACCAAGAGCCGCGGGCACTAAAGGAAAAGAAATCCTGCATCACAAATCCAGTCCATATATCCTAAGAACTTGGCTTGGCTCTTTGCCTGTCTGGAGTATGCAGGTTGTTGGTTCTTTCTTTGGCTATCATTGGGAGTGACTCTAAATATTCTGAAGAGGATATCTCTTATGCCCTCTTTGAGGGCACCTCTTGGATCCATGAGGTTATTTAATACTGCCAGAATTATTTACTGTTTGCCCTGGCAAAATATTTGAAAGGATTTAATAACTTTATAATCAGGAATTTGGTCAAATTGGAAACTGATATTCAGAGCCTGATAGGAATTTTTTAAGGACTTTTCTCCTAAGCTATATGAACCCAGAGAGAAAGACTTTTTTTTTTTTAAAGTAATCTCTACACCCCACATGGGACTCAAACTCACAATCCCGAGATCAAGAGCTGCACACTCTACCTACCGACTGAGCCAGCCAGGCACCCAGAAGGAAGACATTCTTAGAAGAATTAAAAATAGCTGTCCCTGTCTCACAAATCTAGTCTCTACAGGATCAGAGGTGTAGTTCCAAAACAATTCAAAGACTACCAAACCTTTTTGCCAATCCCCCAACCTCCCCTATCTCAAAAGACTTGTAAGTGTAAAAATTCTGACTTTAAGGGAACAAAAGTCCTTCTAGGAGAAGCTTGCATTCTTTCCCTGTGTCTTTAAGATGTAAATGTTCAACATTCTACTGGTCTTTTCTAAGAAATCCTTTCTAGTCCATCTCTTTAAAATACAAACTTCAGAGTGGTAATTCTTGTCAAGAAAAAACACAAAGGGGAGAGAGAGGTCATTTGGAACTTGACTTGCCAAGGAGAAATTCAAATCTTAAGTGTCTTCACAAATACTAAAAAAGCTTTGGCCATCTAGACTGATAACCTTATTCCATCTACCAGAAAAACAACTGAGATCTAACTTTTATAACTAGTAAATTCTGTACCTACTTCATGGCAGTAATTTAAAACTATAAGGGCTAACTGTCCTATATTCATGTGCCTATATTTATGTGTTGTAGCTCTGTGGTATTTTCTACTTCTGGGTAGTATTGCTACAATTAATTTGTAAAAGAGTTCTATTTAGTTGGTTTGAAGGCAAGCACATGTAAGGATTGTGTATTCTAAAACTCTCAAAAAGAAAGAAACTAACTCAAATATTTTTCAAGGTCACATGGTTTGAAAAAAAATATTTGATATAAAAGCTAGTTTAAGGTGGATGGCTTAATTAAAAAGACATGTCTTTAAAGTTACCAACACTAAATATAAAACTTTTCTACTTCAGTTTAGTAGCCCCCAAATAAGTTCATGTTGTCCTTTCCAAGATCTGTCAACAAAAATTAATAGCTTAGGATAATGGCTGACTTTGTCTAATGTTTAATACCATTTTTATAGGTCATCTAAACATAGTTATTAAGGACAAGTAAATTAGATATAAACAAGATAAAAGTTTATAAATGAACTTTTCAAAAATATTTATGTCTACTTAGTTTTCCCATTTTTTTTTTTTGGGTAACCTAAAACCTTAAAGCTTTGCTGAATTAGGTTAAATGATGAATTAAGTTAACTTCATTAAATATCTAGATCATTTCTAGAAGTAGGAGGACCCGAGGCTCACCTCACACTTGATAACTATCAAATTATCCTAAATATTTCAGAAATTGACCTGAAGACTGGCAGAACAGACTCCACAACTAAAGGTAGAGAAGGGCCACATGGAAGAAGGTAGGAAATGTGGATGTGTGGTTTGGGAGAGAAATGACTCCAGGAGCTGCTGTTGCAGAGAAGGGCAAGAGACAGACTAACACACATGGGAGCCATGAAGAAAATAAATCCCCATAGCAATTGGCTTAGAAAGTGAGATAGGCTGAATTTCCTGAGTTCTCGCAACCAGTGGGGCTTAAAGTCTGGAGTTCTGAAGGTCAGTGGGTTTGGTTCAGATAGAGCCCTGAGTCACTGGGGTTGCTCTTGGAGAGAAAGCAGGGCAGACAGTCCAAGGACATACAACATGGAAACAATGATTTGAAGAGTGCTTGGGGCACACAGTGTAGAGGTCAGTTGTTCA